TCATGATCCCAGGGTCCTGGGATAGAGCCCCGCATCGGGCTCCCTGCTCGGCGGGGAGCCTGCTTCTCCCTCTCCCTCTGCCTGCTGCTCCCCCCTGCTAGTGTTCTCTATCTCTCTGTGTGTCAAATAAATAAATAAAATCTTAAAAAAAAAAGAAAAGAAATATAGGCTGTGGCCAGCTCTCCTCTTTGGGAAGAACAAGTGCAGGATAATATAACTTGCACTTCATGAGTCTTATTTACAAAATTTTCCCGTGTTCCTTCAACTCTGCAACCAAGCCTACAAAGACACTTCTACAAATGTTGTCAAAAAATGCAAGTCATTTGGAGAGAATTTATGGGGAAAAAAAATCTTATTACCTGTAAAAGCAGAGAGGAAAATACAAAAGGGATAAAAACAGACCCACATAACTGGTGATTAATAGGAATGAAGTACATGAAAATCTGCAACGTCAGGTGCTTCAGCTTTGGTTTTCAGTTGGAAGATTAAGGCACTATTGTGTCAGGAGGAGAAATTAGTAACTGCTCAAAGAGAGCACAAAGGCAGCAAACCTTAAGTTATCCCAAAGGTATCACAAAATTACAAAACCCAGGATTCTGTGGGGCACAGGGGAAGCATGGGCATATACTCATGAGGGAAGGAAAAGCTGTCATTAAAAAATCAGAGGCTGTGGCAGCAAAGGGGACACTGGACACACAAAAGGAAACACCGTACTTTTCCAAAGCATCCCGAGAGATAGACTGTAAGAGCAAAGTCAAGCTCCAGAACCTAGAGATTCGGTCATTTACTAGGGTTCTGACACATGGACTCGGTGACACAGGGCTCCCCAAATTGTCAAACCTCCTTTGTCATGCTGACCAGCAGCTTTCACTCGAGAATGTGGAATTGCCATGTGACCTCTGACAATAAAGATACAGATTAAAGTGGTATCAAAAAGGCTGAAAGGAAGGGAGAGAGCCCAGAGGAAACAGAAAATATCCAAACAGTAAATAAATAGAGGAGATGGGGGAAAAAGGGAAAATAGCCGAGCTTCAGGTTTTCAACCTGAGGGGAAAAGAACAGCAGTGTCTCAAGGGCATGGAAAAGCCCCAAATGAGAGAGGACATGGAAGAAAGGGGAATATATTTAGTTTGGGCAATGGTAAGAAATAAGGATGGTTGGGGCGCCTGGGTGGCTCAGTTGGTTAAGCGACTGCCTTCGGCTCAGGTCATGATCCCGGAGTCCCGGGATCGAGTCCCACATCGGGCTCCCTGATCAGCAGGGAGTCTGCTTCTCCCTATGACCCTCCTCCCTCTCATGCTCTGTCTCTCATTCTCTCTCTCGCAAATAAATCTTAAAAAAAAAAAGAAAAGAAAAGAAAGAAATAAGGATGGTGAACCCTGGAGGTAGCTGGAAGTAAAAGACAAAGTTGATGGAGAACTTGGGACAAGAGCTTTGAGATGTGCCAGAAGAGATTAATCACAGGAAAGGATAAGATACTCCAGGGACAAACCCAGAGAAAATGGGGCAACTGGCTGTGTTCCCACAGGGGACCTAAGGACAGAGATACACCAGCCAAAGAGAGAATGAAATCACACCTGCAGTTGGGAGACAATCACTAGAGTGCAGTATTCCCAGAGACCAAAGGAGAGAGCAGCTTTTGAGAAAAAGGGGATGATATTAAGGTCAAATACCCCAGGGAGATTAATAAGAATAAGGTCTTAAAAAAAAAAAAAAGCACAGGGGCACCTGGGTGGCTCAGTCAGTTAAGCATCTGCCTTCGCCTCAGGTCATGATCCCAGAGTCCTGGGATCAAGCCCCGCATCGGGCTTCCTGCTCGCGGGGATCCTGCTTCCCCCTCTCTTCCCCGCTCGTGCTCTCTCTAGCTATATCTCCTCTCTCTCTCTCAAGTAAATAAATAAAATCTTTAAAAAAATAAAAAATAAAATAAAATTTTTTAAAAAGGTAAAGTATTTGACCAGAACTGGGAAGATCAATGAGAAAAGATACAGATATTTTCACCAACCTTATGTTATTCAAAATGTTTTACCAACCTGTTATTCAAAAATTGTTACACCAAAATGAAGTTGATATCAAAGGTGCAATGAAATATCTCAACTGAATCACCCCTATGGGTGGCAAGTAGGCAAAACTCAATCCAAAAAGGACCACTTGTAGGAAACAGCACACAGTCTTCCTTCCTCTACCTCTGGGAATACTGATTGTTGATAACATTCTCATTAAGACAACTTTCCTTTGTGGACCCTAAACGTATCAGATACTGTTTACAGCTACTAAACATGTTCACATAACCCAATGAGGGATGAAAAGGCAATGCATTCCCCTCGATCTTATTGTTTAGGATCCAGTACACAGGCTTTATAGAACAGAAAGACAAATCCCCTAACAATTTACTAGGAGACAGAATTCCTAGCCATTTTTTCCTTTTTATCGGCTTTACTGAACTAGAATTTATAAACAATAAAACTCATCTTTAAGTGTATTAATTCAGTAAGTTTTGGCAAATGTATACAGCTGCAGAACCACCACCGCAGCCAAGATGTAGAACATTTCTATCACCCTAAAATGTTATGCCCCAGGAGAGTCTACCCCTCCCTGAACCCTGATCTCTGACAACAACTAGGTATGTTCTCTGTCACTATGGTCACTATGGTTTTGCCTTTTCCAGAATTTTGTATGAACAGAATCATACATTATGTAGCTTTTTTAAAAAACTGTGGTAGAATATACATACCAAGAAATTTGCCATTTAACCATTTTTAACTGTACAGTTCAGTAGTGTCAAAGACATTCACATTTTGATTATATAGCTTTTGTGTTTGGTTTCTTCAACCTACTACCATATTTTCAGATTCACTCACATTATCATCAGCAGTCTGTTTCTCTTTAATTGTGGAGTAGTATTCCATTATTTGGATATGCCACAATTTGTTTATCGAATCACAAGCTGATGGCCATTTGGGCTGTTTCTGGTTTGGGGCTATTGTGAATAATGTTGCTCTGAACATTCGAGCACTAGTCTTTGCATGGACATTTGCTTTCACTGCTTCTCAGTATGTACCTAGAAATGGAGATGCTGGGTCATGTGGTATGTTTTAATTCTATAAGAAACACTAGCAATTCCTTTGATTTCTCAATTCAAAGAAAACGTACAGTCCATGGACGATCAGCCAGAAGTCACTGCCTGCTATATTACACCACATCTCTTAAAGGTATGAGGCTAAATTTCATACTTATGGTATTATGAGGGTGAATACTGGCATAAAGAGCAATTCAACCTCACGAAAAGCTAAATGGCAATGCATCCAAATCCCCTCCTAACTGACCCAGTGCATGCTGGGTGCCCAATAAAAAGGAGCTATTACAGTTCTATTTCTTTTTTTTATTGTTATGTTAATCCCCATACATCATTAGTTTTAGATGTAGTGTTCCATGATTCATTGTTTGTGCATAAC